TCTTTAAATTTTCAGTCGAAGTCTGCTCTCTTCTCAATGTAACAGACTGCAGCTTTAACCTTTCATTAAATCTACAAGAAACTCACCTCTGCCTCCCTGCCTCTGCATTTGGGTCCTTAAACCACAACCAAATCCTGACACAAATGTTTTGGGAAAGTTAATGTGATTACTTTGAAACTAAGTTGTTTGCGTAGGTGTTGCAGTGAACGCAGAGACGTTGCCGCCCCCTCGGCAGACACTCTGCTGCACCTCTCCAAAATTGTAGGTGACTGCAGACAGTGCCGCGGGCAGTAGGACTCTGATTGGTCAAATCTACATCCGCTCTACTCATGCGTACTTCCTGTTTGGTATTTTACCTGTTAAAACCTCATAAAACTTAATTCCACTCAAACAAAGTAAAAATTCAAGACAGTTAAAAAAGATATAATCAACATAAGATCTCTCGCCTGAAAGACTTGGTTAGTTAATTACTTAATTTGTAATAATCAGATTGATTTATTTTGTCTCGCAGAAACCATTAGCAGAAAAATAAATCTCATCAAGACAAATTTTTTGTTCTTCCTTGCAAAAACAATGAGGGAAAGAAACCACAGTTTATCAATCTCCTTCAAAAAATGCCCCCGTCAGCATATAAACCCTCCCACTGCGTTTATTGTTGCATTTTTCTTTTCTTTTGACGTAGATCACATTATGCTTTCAATATAGACATATGAACTTTCTCCATCCATTCTGGTTTGAGATGCTGCACACTCGTTAATTATGGCTTTGCTTTAAAGCTGCACCAATTGATATTTATTTTTTTTTGATAACTTTTCATAATTTTCCAAGTCAAATGTGGGAAATTGTTTTAATTTGTGTGGCACAGAGAAGCAAGTGAAAATCTGCGCAAATCTGCCCACCCTGCCTAGTTGGAGCCGAGCTTTACACAGAGAGTGCGAAATGAAAAGAAATTGGATCAGAGATTATAAAGTTGTACCCAGTATTAGGCCATAGAAATTAGTAAGAAATGAATGGAAGTTGATGGAAAGTCCCCATAGGGATAGTATGACACAAGATATGTGTGTATGTATGTGTATAAAAAAACACTTTGTTTTTTTTGTTTTTTTGCCTCAATTAGTTTTTTTTTTTTTGCTTTAATATGTAGCTAAACTAAAAATATGTTTTTAATAAAAAAAAAAACATAATGTAGCATTGTTTTTAGGGTGTTATTTCTTTATCAATGGTTAATAAAACATTTATTACCTTTAGCATTAAGCAAACATACAAATAAATATCTCAATGCCCCAGTTTACATGAATACCATGTTCATGTCTAGAAGGCAGGAGGACAAGAAGCTGACAACAACTCTGTACCATTCAGGGAAAGGGTGCAAATAATTCTCTCCCTATATATTGGAACCTAATGAAATCTTATGCGAGACTAGAGACCATCTCCCCTGTTCTGAAGTGCTGGTTGAAGAATCACTGAATGGCTTAGCACTGGTATACACTCTGTGTCTACTGTGTATCAAACTTCCAGAACATGCAGGTATCAGACCCAGAACCAGACATGGAGAAACAGCATTTGGTTCTTATTATCTATTATTCAGGACCAAACTCCCAGATAAAAGTGCTCAACACCTATGTTCCTTATATCAAGGTTAAAAACCTATTGGTGTAAAGATGCCTTTGAGTGGTATATTTACAATTTTTACTGAAACATCATTAGAATAAATTTGTGGTTCAGCTTGTCTTTACTTGCCTGCATTATGCCACTACTATGTCTTTTTATCTTATTATTTCATGATATTAATGACCTGGAATTGTCTTGTTCTTCAGATGTGCAAAGTCTTGAATTAGATTTTCTTTTTCTAAATCTAATGTTTAGATTTTTATGTGAAATTATAAAATAATAGTTGTATTATTTACACTGAGGGAATAGTTGCTAATAATAAAGTCACAATACTATCTACTAAAGATTTCTTAAAGCTTCATATATGAACTGTGTCTACGCCAGGGGTCTTCAATGTTTTCCAGGTCAAGGACCTCCAAACTGATGGCGAGACCCCCTAATTATATATATTGTATGAAATTGTGTTATATCAAACTGGTCCTATAGTCACTCTATCACATATGGAGTAATGTAACAAAAGTAATTTCTGGGATTATTAAAGTATTTGTGATTGTGATTCCTCGTTGATGGGACAGGTGTTGTGAATGGAACGGTGCCCAGCTTGAAAGAGCCTCTGTGTGTCGCTGAATGTGTGCATTGATGACTGAAAGACATCTTCTGCCTCCATTTATTTGTTTACTACAGTGTGTTGCATTCATGTTAATGTGTATTTAAAGAAATTTCAATTAGTGGAAGAAATTGCAGGGGAGAATATAAAAAAAAGTCTAATCAACATAAACTTTCGTAACCCCAATGCAGCACCTCTGTGGACCCCCTAGGGGTCACGGACCCCCCTGTTTAAGACCTCTGTTCTACGCAATGCCTTTACATTAAATTGGAAGATGTTGATAAGGTGATGAAAATATGTTAAGTGATGGTGATTCATGCTGCATCAGTGGGCTCGTCATCATTGCAATTTATTAACATATGCAGGAGCGTGACTGACAACAGATGCCTCCAAACATTTTCTGAACTAAGTTTTTAATTTCTTAAGTTTGCAATTATGTTCGCTGATAATTAAAAAATGTGTGGATGCTTCGCTGCCAGAATGTCTTCCCCTCCAGCTTATATCTGTTTGCTGGGGTTTGTCTCTCATTTTGAAAATAACTAACTTGGTTGCTTCTTGTATTTGGGAGCAAAATTAATTATTCAAAGTTGTAAAGATTCTGCAGCTCAAAGGCAAGATCAACATTGTCCTCAATTTAAACATAAACATTGAGTTTATATGAATAGATAATCTTTCCTCATTCCAAAATACTGTATGTATTCACACAAAGCTCGGTATTACAATAATAAAACTATCCACAGAAACAGGCTACATTAGATGTCACATACTTGGCTTATTTTTCAACATTCCAGCTGTTTGTTTTTTTTTTAATAATCATTTAAGTTATGAAGCCCAGCATCTGTTCAGGAGCCAGTGAACATAACACAAACAAATCCTACAGCTGTATTCACACGGATTCTTATGTCTGTAAGGCATGACTGTTTCATGTAACGTAGCCTGGTTTTGTAAAATCCATGTAAATCTGGGTGAGGGGTATATCATGCACAGCATGCTTCTGCTTCAAAATAATTTAGTTGTACTGAGACACATTTTAATATTTTTCCCTATATTTGACAACTCATAGAGCATGCAGGAGGGAAGGTTTATTACAAGAAAACACTAACCGATCAAAGCAGACAATAGGTCAGGCTGAACTGAGGTTGGAGCCACTCTAAGTATGCAAATATAAGGGAACATTCATCAGTTTGCATTGGATAGCAATGTTTTAAACATTTAATTTTAATATTTACATTTTTATTTTAATATTTCTATCAAATATGACCTATAATTTAATTTTTTATCACTGCTGACACATTATTATGTATTCTAAATGTTTTATCAGTCAAACATATGTATATTCATAAAACAAAACACATGACGCATCATTTTTACACATCACTCTTAAAAACACATCACTTTTACAAGTGATCGGGTAGTTGGTAAAGCTGTCGTTTCTGTAAAATGAATTCATCAGAAAAGATTTGTTTTGTTAAACCTCCATATTCTTTAAAACCACTAAAGTAAAACAGAGTAGATCCACAGAGATGTTGAAGAAAATAACCAAACTTACGACATTTAACTACTATTTCTCCCAATGCAAACATTAAAAATATTATTATTGTGTGGCCGAGAAGCACGTCCATGTTTTTATTGTTTCCATGAAATAAAAAAATTAAACAGGTTAAAATAGGTGGTTTGAGAGGGGCATGAAGGAAGCCATCTATGTTAAGAAAGAAAAAACAACCTTTAACAGAGGGAGTGGACTCAGATTTCAGCTTTCAAAAACCTACAGTACAGCAGTTGAGTTAGTCCCTTCTTGCTATCATCGCATCCCCGACCCCTTTACAGGGAGACAGAAGACCCCGCCTATTCAGCCAGGCCAACACTTCTCTTTAATGCCCCCCCTTTCAGAGACATAGACCGGTATGGAGCGTTGCAGGCTAACAAAAGAAGACAAACAACCCCCATTCCAACCAAATGGTCTGTTTCAATTTGCATGTTTTCTAAGCAAATTAAGGCTTATATGGACTCACTGTAGCCTCAAACTCAGTGCTATTTCTGACATTTGAATTGAAAAAGCATCCTGGATGGGAAGCAAAATGTCTTCAAACCTAGAAACAAAGTCCATTGGTTTGGTTTTTTTTTTGGAATGACTATGACCTGGATGACTGAGAATTTTCACCAGTACTTAGCATTTTGTATTTCCTGTTCTTTCTAAATTAACTATTTGCAACATTATGAAAAGAAACAGGACTTATGTGAACATGGCTCATCAAAGAGAGGACATTGCTTGGAACACATAAATCCATCCATCCAATTTCTGTCACACTTATCCCTGCTGGGGTCACAAAGGGTGCTGGTGCCTATCTCCAGCTGTCTCTGGGTGAGGGCGGGGTAAAACCTAGAGAGGTCGCCAGTCCATTGCAGGGCACAGATACAAACAGGACAAACATCCATGCACACACACACCTAAGGAGAATTTAGAGAAGCCAATTAACCTAACATTGATGTTTTTGGACTGTGGGAGGAAGCCTGGGTACCAGGAGAGAACCCACGCATGCTCAGGGAGAACATGCAAACTCCATGCGGAAAGGAATCGAACCCAAAACATTCTTCCTGCAAGGCAGCAGTGCTACCAATGCGTCACTGAGAAGCCAAAACATATAAACATATGAATAAAATACATAATATAATAAAAGACACAATAATATATTTCATATTCCAAGAGGTGCTGTTAGTTATTTTGATATGAATATTATTCATAATAAAGAATAAACTGAAGAGAAATATGCACATAACTCACCCTGAGAGTGTTTGCTGACTGAACAGGAAGTCCTGAAATGTCCACCTGTGCCATGTCATCTGCATGTGTGCCCAACCAATGGATCAACAACGCTGGCTCACAGAACTCCACGTCTTGATGTGGAACGAGGTTCAAATCTCCATCCACTTGGAAGTTGGGATCTGACACTTCAAACGTCACATTCTTATTTCCTTCACAGTCATCAAACTCCACTGCAAGAAAGACACACAAAACACAGAAGTATATTTAACACCATTCTCCACAAATTATGAACAGAAACCACAAGAAAAATAGACAGCCTGGCACTCACCCAGGTGCAGGCAGCGGTGCAGGAGGATAAAAGCTGGATTTTTAGATATAAACACATAGCCTGAAGATAAACACATAACCTGAGCAAAGAGTAGCATCCTCTGAGGGAATGTCAGTGAGGCTTGAATAAAAGTCAGTGCTTTCTAGTCACAGAAGCTGCTCCAATATTTACAACCTGATGCATAACATGCTACCCTGCGTGGACTTATTAAAGCCTCTGGCTTGTTTTTACTGCAGAGAATTCAGTTATTCCTTCTGTCAAAGGAAACAGAGAAAAACAAAAAAAGAAACACTTCTTGTGATGCAAGCACGTGTGGACTTGTGTGCTCACACTCAGCTTGATACTCCCTGAGAGTCTACCAGGAATTATCCCCTTAGATCATGTTCATCCTCCCTTTATCTTTTGAACACACTCCCATTGGTGTTACAACATGAATCCCCTCCCCAGGACCACCGATCCTTGCCTCCCTCATCAATTTCCTGCTCTAGACATGGGGTAGACCTAATTGATTAACTGTTCTGATACATTAATTTATTGATTTGTTCATTATTATTGCTCTTACATGAGAAATTTAACATATGATGAAGCAGTTTGTGGGGGATGATTTCACATTAGCTAAACCTGGAGCTTCATATTCTAGAAATATATTTAAGGTGAAAATATGGACAGGCCCTCAAATGTTTGTTAAGGTTCAGCTAATCTAAAAATACTGAATTTTGGAGCAAAGATGTTGAAAGTAAACTGGTCCTGAATATTGGAAAATGTCTAATTTCTGTTTTCTGACTGAACTGAGGAGTCAGTGACTTTCTACTCTGAGTTACCACGAAGGCTTGGATTGAGCAAAGCATTAAAAGAGCAGAACTCTTCTGGGGTCAGATGTAAGCATCAATGCAAAGGAGGCTGCAAGCCTCTCATTCACAGTCATTTTTACAATACAATTACAATTTTAGGTACAATGCTAGCTAGAATTAAAATGTTAATATCTTTTTAAATGAGAAACTTTGATATTTTGACAAGCAAATATTTTTTGCAACACAATTACCGTAGAAGAAGGTGTGTCTTTAGGTGTTGTCTCTACCACACAGCTACAGACTGACTTTTGACCCCCTCTTCTTTTTTAAGAAGTTTAAGCTAAATATGAATGGAGAATATTTTACCATACAGTTTACAGGTCTCGAAGGTATCCTTAATTGGAATAAGGTTTGGACTTTGACTAGGCCATCCAAACACATAAATATGCTTTAATTAAAGCCATTCCATTGTATCTTTGCTGTATATTTAGGATATTTGTACGACTGCAGGGTGCACCAGTTATCCTGTGGGCCATAGGACTACTAACCTGACTCCGCCAGATGGATTTACTCTGCATATCCATCTGGAAACCTTCCGTTGATGTAATTTTGGGAAGGGGCGAAAATACTGGTTAGCTGATAGACCGGCCAAATAAACCAATCAGATCAACAAAGCATATGACGTACTAACAGAGCGACGACGAAAACACAACCACAAGCCAGGCTACTCTTGCCGAAACCAGTCGGGAGATTAGCAAAAACTTTTTTTCCTTTGAGAAAAGCCTCCTCCTTCTTTCAGTGAAGAAATACTCTGAAATTCCGATTAAACTTGCTCGATAGCCACGCTAACGCTAGTTTCATCGGCTGAAGCCGCCATGTTCTTTAGACTGAACTGTCGCGCTTCTCGTTGCGTCACTCCTCAACCTGCCTCAAAGCTAACGCTGATTGGACGTTCGTTTGGTGAACGGCTCCAAATTTTCTTTAACCGAGAGTCTCCAGACTGATCTGCGAGTGAAACCTTGAAAGCTCGCGAGATCAGGATGGTCTCACGAGACTATAGGACTACACCAGAAGCTTGAGAAATACCAATGGATCAAGAAGAAAATACAGTATAGACACTGTCGAAAGTTGAGGCCTCACTGGTGCCACCTGCCATCCATCTGTCCAACATAATGAATTCCAAGACACAGCTAAGGTACTGGGTAGAACCCTGAAATCACAAACCTCTGGCAACACTTAAAGACTTCAGATACTTGAATACCTTTGTAGTGGCAGTAAGCGTTTTACAACAAAATGTGTTGGATTGGACCATTTTTCAAATTCTCTGTTGCATTAGGTAAAGAAGAAAAATCAACTCAGAAACAGCTGAACTTACTGTCTACTTCATCAGATTTACTATGATCGATGACAGGATAGGGGGATCTTACTGATCTTAAGACCCCCTGAAAATGGCTATGCCCCCATCCTCTTCCCGGAAGTCTTGATATTATTATTTGTATCATTAAATTTTTTTATTTATCTGATCCAAAATCAGATTAAATTGCATCATTATCACCCTTTCTTTGTGCTCCCATTGTTATGTGCCCCAGGCACATTATGATTTTTGTCCATTTCTTTTCTTCGTTTGCTTATAAACTTTAGTTGAAGGATCCTTTTGTTAATATATTTTAGGATTCTTTTAGTAAATCAATTATGTTAATTTGTGGTGCTGTCGTCCGCCTATAAATAGGCTGGCCTTCAGCACGTTAGGCGTTCCTTGCGCGTTCCTTTCCAACCTCGTTTGGACGCCACTTCCCACCTGCTTCATTTGCTCCATCGTGCGCGGTGCGCACTTGTCTTGTCGCTGCGGCCTGCAGCGGACGTTCCAGCCTGCCATGTGGTATTTTTGTTACCTTTTTCTTACTTTTTTCTTGAGGTTTTTGGCCTGGCGGGGCCGGTAGTCCTGTTTTCGATTTTTCTTTCGCTTAGGTTATTTTTTGCCTTTAGTCCGGTACCAGTAGGGGCTTCGACGGCCCTGTATAGGGTTGGCCCCCTGCTGTACCGTTTTATTCTGTTTGATCGGCCTGCCAGGTCCAACTTTCTGTTGTTACTTTGGGTTTCTTTTTTTTTTTTTTTGGGGGCACGGGATTTGAGGGCCGTTAACTATTTTTCTCTTCGCAGAACATCTGAAGAAGCCGAACCAAGAACAACTAAAACGGAGAGAATTTATTAATAAAACATCTTTTTTTGAACCCTCATTTTTGTCTCGTGTCCTCAAATATGTTGTGTCCTTGGTGGGCGTAACACCCATGTCAGTTGAACTCGATCTTTACTACACATTTTGAAGGAAAATGCATACCAGTGAACCTGTGGCTCCTATATTTGCAGTTTGATTGCTCAGATTACAAGCTGCATGTTACTCTGGTTGTGGAAGATGTAAGAAGCGACATAGATGTTTGATCAATCTCCTCACAGTGAGTCAAAAGCAACAGAGCCCTAATGAAATATATCTGGGAACAATGAGTACAATAGGGTACATGACCCATTTCAGAGCAGCCCCAGAGCTGAACAGAGAGCCAGATGAACGTGCTTCTGCACAGAAACTGTTGGAACAAGCTTTACCCAGATTTAAGTTAGCTGTAAAACCTGAATGCTGACCTGACCATGAATTAGCTGGTTATAAGTTTAACCCATTAATTTATATTCATCCTGCATCTTCAAGGTCATTATGAGGATCAGAAAGCAGTAGAACTATTATCTGAGCTACAAAAATGTAAGCATTTACATTAGTTAAAGACATTTAAATGTCCTTTAGATAATCACATTGTTTCTTTTTTCTGCAGTCAGTGCAATATTACATGTTAATAGAAAATAAAAACTTTTATTACATTTATCAACTTGCTTAATAAACAGGGAACAAAGTCTTCTCTTCCACATCTTCTGTGCTGATCCTAAAAATAAAGTTCTGGGTTGTTTAAAGGTCTAGTATTAAAACGAAATAAACCACAGAAAATGATCACTTATGTACCACTTATGTTCTAACATTAACCCTGTTATGTTTCTGAACAATATGTATTACATGTAATGTTAATTAAAAAATAAAAAAGGATACAGTTTTACATTAAATGAACCACAGATAAACCTCGTTATGTATACAGAAATAATAACAGATTTATTAATATCAATCACAGGGCAAAAATGTGGATCTAAGACAGTTTGTGGATGATGCTCTATGTTTTGTTTACACAATTAAAAACATTAATTGTGTAAAATTAGTAAAATTAGTATTTATGTTGCTCCCACTGCAGGAGCAGTGGGAGCAATAACTCTGTCAACCAAAATTGATCAGAAATAACCCTTCATCCACCATAAAAAATAAAAAAAAGGACATAAATGTAAAATGTAGCGACTGATGAAAGGCCATGCTACCAACCCCATCCACAGAACGGGCACAACCAAAAGATCTGGTCTTGTTTCAGTTCACTTGTCATTCATTCCTGCTATGCAAATAAGCAGGCTATAAAGAACCAGAACAGACAGAGCTGTGCAGAAACTATGTAGAGACACTGAAATCTACATGAAATAGAACCGACATCATCATAAAGAGACTAGCTTATCTACACAGCCAGAATAAAAGCCAAAATGTCTTCTATACTGCTAAGATAATTTCCATCATGTTGAAAACCTTCTTTTTTCAGAATAAAAACTAAATGTCTTATTCTTAAACAAGCAGAAGTCTCTCAGCGATTATACTTCCAAAGCAATAATGTTTATGCACACAAAGTACTCCTATATTATTCTTTCACTTTTCACAGATAAATATATATTACTCTCTATTAGTCCATGAACATCTATTTTCCATCAATGCAGCACCACATGTATTATACAAGGTCTACTGTTAGGGCTGCCTGGCAATCTAATCAATACTACGGTTTATCAGAACTCTCATTTGGTACATTTAACCTTGTATCTCAGTCTGGCTCTCACTGCAGAATTTCTGAACTCTTTCCTCTGAAAAAATATCTTTATTTTACCAACTGGATAAAAAGAAGAAAAGAATATACAGTAGAGGGAGGAAGAAAGGAAAAAAAAAAAGGAGGATGAGAAATCAAGCATATCCAGTACCAAATAC